GGGACCACAATATCCAATAAGGAGCAGGGGACTGTAACTTGGATGAGGGTTGAGGTTTGGGGACCCTAGCATTCGATGAGGGGTGAGCAGCGGGAAACAGGAGTGCTGGATGGGGGACTCAGGAGCAGGGAATAGCAGCATTGGATGGGGGGTGAGGAGCAGGGGTTAGCAATGTTGAATGGGGGGGGAGGAGCAGGGGTTAGCAATGTTGAATGGGGGGGGAGGAGCAGGGGTTAGCAATGTTGAATGGGGGGGGAGGAGCAGGGGTTAGCAATGTTGAATGGGGGGGGAGGAGCAGGGGTTAGCAATGTTGAATGGGGGGGGAGGAGCAGGGGTTAGCAATGTTGAATGGGGGGGGAGGAGCAGGGGTTAGCAATGTTGAATGGGGGGGGAGGAGCAGGGGTTAGCAATGTTGAATGGGGGGGGAGGAGCAGGGGTTAGCAATGTTGAATGGGGGGGGAGGAGCAGGGGTTAGCAATGTTGAATGGGGGGGGAGGAGCAGGGGTTAGCAATGTTGAATGGGGGGGGAGGAGCAGGGGTTAGCAATGTTGAATGGGGGGGGAGGAGCAGGGGTTAGCAATGTTGAATGGGGGGGGAGGAGCAGGGGTTAGCAATGTTGAATGGGGGGGGAGGAGCAGGGGTTAGCAATGTTGAATGGGGGGGGAGGAGCAGGGGTTAGCAATGTTGAATGGGGGGGGAGGAGCAGGGGTTAGCAATGTTGAATGGGGGGGGAGGAGCAGGGGTTAGCAATGTTGAATGGGGGGGGAGGAGCAGGGGTTAGCAATGTTGAATGGGGGGGGAGGAGCAGGGGTTAGCAATGTTGAATGGGGGGGGAGGAGCAGGGGTTAGCAATGTTGAATGGGGGGGGAGGAGCAGGGGTTAGCAATGTTGAATGGGGGGGGAGGAGCAGGGGTTAGCAATGTTGAATGGGGGGGGAGGAGCAGGGGTTAGCAATGTTGAATGGGGGGGGAGGAGCAGGGGTTAGCAATGTTGAATGGGGGGGGAGGAGCAGGGGTTAGCAATGTTGAATGGGGGGGGAGGAGCAGGGGTTAGCAATGTTGAATGGGGGGGGAGGAGCAGGGGTTAGCAATGTTGAATGGGGGGGGAGGAGCAGGGGTTAGCAATGTTGAATGGGGGGGGAGGAGCAGGGGTTAGCAATGTTGAATGGGGGGGGAGGAGCAGGGGTTAGCAATGTTGAATGGGGGGGGAGGAGCAGGGGTTAGCAATGTTGAATGGGGGGGGAGGAGCAGGGGTTAGCAATGTTGAATGGGGGGGGAGGAGCAGGGGTTAGCAATGTTGAATGGGGGGGGAGGAGCAGGGGTTAGCAATGTTGAATGGGGGGGGAGGAGCAGGGGTTAGCAATGTTGAATGGGGGGGGAGGAGCAGGGGTTAGCAATGTTGAATGGGGGGGGAGGAGCAGGGGTTAGCAATGTTGAATGGGGGGGGAGGAGCAGGGGTTAGCAATGTTGAATGGGGGGGGAGGAGCAGGGGTTAGCAATGTTGAATGGGGGGGGAGGAGCAGGGGTTAGCAATGTTGAATGGGGGGGGAGGAGCAGGGGTTAGCAATGTTGAATGGGGGGGGAGGAGCAGGGGTTAGCAATGTTGAATGGGGGGGGAGGAGCAGGGGTTAGCAATGTTGAATGGGGGGGGAGGAGCAGGGGTTAGCAATGTTGAATGGGGGGGGAGGAGCAGGGGTTAGCAATGTTGAATGGGGGGGGAGGAGCAGGGGTTAGCAATGTTGAATGGGGGGGGAGGAGCAGGGGTTAGCAATGTTGAATGGGGGGGGAGGAGCAGGGGTTAGCAATGTTGAATGGGGGGGGAGGAGCAGGGGTTAGCAATGTTGAATGGGGGGGGAGGAGCAGGGGTTAGCAATGTTGAATGGGGGGGGAGGAGCAGGGGTTAGCAATGTTGAATGGGGGGGGAGGAGCAGGGGTTAGCAATGTTGAATGGGGGGGGAGGAGCAGGGGTTAGCAATGTTGAATGGGGGGGGAGGAGCAGGGGTTAGCAATGTTGAATGGGGGGGGAGGAGCAGGGGTTAGCAATGTTGAATGGGGGGGGAGGAGCAGGGGTTAGCAATGTTGAATGGGGGGGGAGGAGCAGGGGTTAGCAATGTTGAATGGGGGGGGAGGAGCAGGGGTTAGCAATGTTGAATGGGGGGGGAGGAGCAGGGGTTAGCAATGTTGAATGGGGGGGGAGGAGCAGGGGTTAGCAATGTTGAATGGGGGGGGAGGAGCAGGGGTTAGCAATGTTGAATGGGGGGGGAGGAGCAGGGGTTAGCAATGTTGAATGGGGGGGGAGGAGCAGGGGTTAGCAATGTTGAATGGGGGGGGAGGAGCAGGGGTTAGCAATGTTGAATGGGGGGGGAGGAGCAGGGGTTAGCAATGTTGAATGGGGGGGGAGGAGCAGGGGTTAGCAATGTTGAATGGGGGGGGAGGAGCAGGGGTTAGCAATGTTGAATGGGGGGGGAGGAGCAGGGGTTAGCAATGTTGAATGGGGGGGGAGGAGCAGGGGTTAGCAATGTTGAATGGGGGGGGAGGAGCAGGGGTTAGCAATGTTGAATGGGGGGGGAGGAGCAGGGGTTAGCAATGTTGAATGGGGGGGGAGGAGCAGGGGTTAGCAATGTTGAATGGGGGGGGAGGAGCAGGGGTTAGCAATGTTGAATGGGGGGGGAGGAGCAGGGGTTAGCAATGTTGAATGGGGGGGGAGGAGCAGGGGTTAGCAATGTTGAATGGGGGGGGAGGAGCAGGGGTTAGCAATGTTGAATGGGGGGGGAGGAGCAGGGGTTAGCAATGTTGAATGGGGGGGGAGGAGCAGGGGTTAGCAATGTTGAATGGGGGGGGAGGAGCAGGGGTTAGCAATGTTGAATGGGGGGGGAGGAGCAGGGGTTAGCAATGTTGGATGGGGGGTGAGGAGCAGGGGTTAGCAATGTTGAACGGGGGTGAGGAGTAGGGAACACAAGCATGGAAAGGAACTAGGGAATGTCCACCAGTTGGCAATCTCAGGTAGTTTTGGTGGACCACATACGCAGGAAGTGACATCACATATAAATAGGAAGTTCCAGGTGAGAAGTGAGTTGGGAGGAAGTAAAGAGGAGACATTGCTGGAACTGGCAGCAGAGGAGGTAATAAGATATTATTTTATATGTACACCCAGGAACCCCCCCCTTCATGTCCGTCCTCCAAAGCGAGTGCTACCTTCAAATCAACTACAGATAGAAAAGCCCCACCCAAGGCAGCAAAAGGGGGAGATTGTCAAAGAGCTAGCAATCAAATTGGTGGCTGACACCGATGAAGTCCTCATAAGATTTATGAGAAACTGAGAACATGGCGGGATCACCCGAGACACCGCCCCCCGCCACGGCCATGTACAGAAGTAGAGGGCAGTTTCCTAAGTGACCGTCATCGCTCCCTATTGTCAGGAGGATGGAGAAGGACCGGAGTCACATGACCGAGAGGATACTAAACCTCACCCTGGAGATCATCTACCTGCTGACTGGAGAGGTGAGGAGGATTCTGGGAGGTCACATGACCTGATCGGAGAGGTGAGGAGGATTCTGGGATTCTAACATGATGTTCCTATTGGTTTCTCCATCCAGAGTTTTCCTCTTCTGAAGTCCGGTGATCATGTGACCATCACAGCGTCTCCATGTGACTCCCTAAAACCCGAGAGACCCGACATGGGGAAGAGTCTAGAAGTCACCAAGAAGATGATGGAGCTGCTGACGGGAGAGGTGAGCGGTGCCGGGAATTGTGGGACATGATCCAGGAACACCCTACACACACCATGGAGGACAGTCCCAGCACCCTACACACACCATGGGGCCAGTCCCATCACCCTACACACACCATGGAGGACAGTCCCAGCACCCTACACACACCATGGGGCCAGTCCCATCACCCTACACACACCATGGAGGACAGTCCCAGCACCCTACACACACCATGGGGCCAGTCCCATCACCCTACACACACCATGGAGGACAGTCCCAGCACCCTACACACACCATGGGGCCAGTCCCATCACCCTACACACACCATGGAGGACAGTCCCAGCACCCTACACACACCATGGAGGACAGTCCCAGCACCCTACACACACCATGGAGGACAGTCCCAACACCACACACACCATGGAGGACAGTCCCAGCACCCTACACACACCATGGAGGACAGTCCCATCACCATACACACACCATCAGTAGAGATATGGGGGTTACCTTCTGGCAGACCTCAACCCTTTGATGCCGGGGGGTGAGGAGCATAGGTTAGTAGTCCCTCCTCCATGGGGAGCCGTGGCCGGGAACATGACTCTACAGACTGCGGATGGGAAGCTGAGAAAGGTCCGAGGCGTGTACAGCTCAGAGGACCTCCCAGAGACACCTCGGGGTCACTGGACAAGAAAGAAGGAGGAAACCACCATTTCTGTTGTAGGCTAAAATTTATTTTGTGTATTTATGTTGAACCAACAGAGTCCGGTCACAGACATGGCGGAAGCACAATCCTAGCACCAGAGGAGCTTACAATCTAATGTCCCCACCGTGATAATACCGACACACACGGTAGGACCAACGTGGGCCAAGAACCAAATGGCCTACTGATGTGTTTTTGGATTCCATGAGCATCTGGAGGAGGAACGCCTAACAATCGTGGGGCCAGCCTACAAGCTCTGAAGACGAAGTCTTGGAGGAGTTAACATTGTACAGGTTCACTTCTGAATTGTGCTTTTGGCCAGGACTTGTCCTCTTTGGGTGAAACGCCCTACAAATAAAGTTTTTTCCTTTCAATGAGAGTTAGTTCTCTGATGGTTAAGAAGGTCGGCCTTCTGCACAAACGTTTCGGCGCAGCTCGTGCAAGGAAAAGGTTTGAGGTCCCTGTGGCTCTTCTGGTGGATGGTGAGGTCGGACTGATGCTTGAAGCTCTTCCCACACTCCGGGCAGGGGTAAGGCCCCAGGCCCGAGTGGGTCCTCAGGTGCCGGACCAGGTCCGACTTGAACCGGAAACGTCTGCCGCACTCGGAGCACGAGAAAGGTTTTTCGCCCGTGTGAATCTTACGGTGCTCAGCCAGGTGGGACTTGTGTCGAAAATACTTCCCGCACTCGGGGCAAGGGAACGGTTTTTCCCGGGAGTGGAAGCGCTGGTGCGCCACCAAGATGGACTTCCTGGAGAAGGACTTGCCGCACTCGGTGCAAGGGAACGGGCGCTCGCCCGTGTGAGTCCTCCGGTGTTTAGTGAGGGTGGACTTGTGGTTAAAAAACTTGCCGCAGTAGTCGCAGGGGAAGGGCCTTTCGCCGCTGTGGATTCTGTGGTGCTGCTTGAGGACCGACCTTTGGGCGAAACACTTGCCACACTCCGAGCAGGTAAAGGGCCGCTCCCCGGTGTGAGTCCGGCGGTGGCGGACGAGGTCTGACTTGCGGAAAAAGCTCCTCCAGCACTCGGAGCATGGAAAGGGACGCCCTACGGTATGAATCTTCTGGTGCTCCTCAAGATCTGGCTTCTGGGCGAATCCCTTGCCGCACTCCGGGCAGGCGAAGGGCCTCTCTATCCGCGGAGTCGGCATGGCACTTTTATCAGAGTCACCGCGTGGATGGACTTCATTCCTGCCCGGGGACTTGCCTGGAGAAGAAGGATCCTGGGACCTCTCTGCGTGGTGATGGACATCTCGGGTGATGGTGTTAGATACATCAGGAGAAGGTTCTTCGGGATGTGAGGGATCTGGCACTCTACCCGTCCGGTGAAGTCCTCCCCGTAGATTTGTAGTGATGGGGTTTTCTGTCGAAGAATCATCTGTGAAGTCCTCATTTTCGGTCTTACACTCGGGAGATAAGAAGGACTCTTCCTCAGAGGCTTTCTCCATATCACCTTCATCGGCTGGAAGAGAAGAAGAAAAGGCTTCAGAGAATATAATCAATGCCGGCCGACATCTCTTAGAATACGTTTCCTCGGCAACCGACCAGAAAAGGAAATTATTAATTATATTAAAAAAACTTTACAATGACCTTTGGTGATGTTCAGAGAAGATTCCACCACGAATCCAGCCTCCTCCATTGACTGCTGGCCAACCCTTACGTTGACCTCCCGTTCTTCTTCTGCTTCACTCTCAGCTTTTATATTCCCCCGATCTTCACTCTTCCACCACAAAATATAGATAAACAATATCATAAAACTTCAGAAAGGACATCGGCCTATAAGATTTGTATTTCATCTGAAAAGGCGGCCTCAGCAAGGCCACAAATGTTTCAGATGTTCATTCCCACCGACCTGATCATGGTGGGGGAGGGTGAGATCTTCCATGGTGGGATCCCGGGAATACAGAGGGCGGGGACATCTCTCTGGTGGGTTCCTCTTACTGGATCCATCTGTAGGAAACACACACACTGACTGAATACATTGTTTCTATGTGTGTATCAGATGATGGGGGATGTAGGCGGAGCCTCCCTACTGCTCTCTCCTCTTACCCGGTGATGTGAGGGGCGGGGCATTCTCCATCACCACGTCCTTGTAGAGATCCCGGTGTCCTTCTAGATACTCCCACTCCTCCATGGAGAGATAGACAGAGACATCCTGACACCTTATAGGAACCTGACACACACAATGATACCGTCACCACCCAGACACGCCCCTTGTCTGTTCCTGGATCATGTCCCAGAATCCCCGTCACCGCTCACCTCTCCCGTCACCACCCAGACACACCCCTTGTCTGTTCCCGGATCATGTCCCAGAATCCCCGGCACCGCTCACCTCTCCCGTCAGCAGCTCCATCATCTTCTTGGTGACTTCTAGAATCTTCTCCATGTTGGGTCTCTCGGGTTTTAGGGAGTCACATGGGGGCACCGTGATGGTCACATGATCACCAGACTTCAGTAGAGGAAAACTCTGGATGGAGAAACCAATAGGAACATCATGTTAGAATCCCAGAATCCTCCTCACCTCTCCGGTCAGGTCATGTGACCTCCCAGAATCCTCCTCACCTCTCCGGTCAGCAGGTAGATGATCTCCAGGGTGAGGTTTAGTATCCTCTCAGTCATGTGACTTCGCTGCTTGTCCATTCTCATTCCTGTGGTCATGTGATCTGCACAGGAAGTCCCTTTTTATAGACTTTTCTGATTTTCAGCGCCGGGCAGATTTGTCGTCTAATGGAGAGGATCATCTGGTGTCACTGTCTCCGTGTTCTCTGTACAGCACTACGGTATATGTCAGATGCAATCAATATATCCTTTGATAAGTCACAGCTCCTGTTGGAAATAGAAGTCACAGTGACTACGGAGGACGAGGACGGACATGACGGGGGGGGTTACTGGGTGTATATATAAAATAATATCTTATCACCTCCTCTGCTGCCAGTTCCAGCAATGTCTCCTCTCTACTTCCTCCTGACTCACCTCTCACCCGGAACTTCCTGTTTATAAACTGACCTCACTTCCTGTCTGTGCACCAGTAAGGTCACCACCTAGTGTGGAGTAAAGTAACTGCAGCCTTATACACATACAAGCTAACTCTGATGACAGTGATCCTGGATCTGGATTGGTGATGTGCAGTATCAGACTTCTAGAGAGAGCTGCGTAGGTCTGCAGTGGTGGGGTTCCATAATTTGATTGCCCTCAGACCCCCTCATCAGCATTCAGGGAGTTCCCAGTCCCTCCTCTTTTGCAGGAGCATCAGGTATTAAGGGGCCTTCTTTCCAGATTAGGGATGCAACCAATGACAGTTTTTCGGTATCAAGTAACGATAATGTACGCGCCGATACCGAATACCGATACCGGAAGTCCCTTTAAGGAAGCCAGGCGGCGTGTAATGACTCACCGCCCGGCTTCCCGATTAGCTGGAAAGCCGTTTCCATGCTCCCTCGTCACCAAGTGACGAGGGAGCATGGAGCCGGCCAATCAGGAAGCCGGGTGGCTTGTACTCGTGATAATGCCTGGGCAGAACACATGTCCCCAAAGCAGAGTACTATTCTGTTCGGCTGTGGGGACATGTGTGCGGCCCTGGTGACATCTGTATTTAGCCCTAGTGACATCTGTATTTAGCCCTGGTGACATCTGTATTTAGCCCTGGTGACATCTGTATTTAGCTCTGGTGACATCTGTATTTAGCTCTGGTGACATCTGTATTTAGCCCTGGTGACGTCTGTATTTAGCCCTGGTGACATCTGTATTTAGCTCTGGTGACATCTGTATTTAGCCCTGGTAACATCTGTATTTAGCTCTGGTGACATCTATATTTAGCCATGGTGACATCTGTATTTAGCTCTGGTGACATCTATATTTAGCTCTGGTGACATCTGTATTTAGCCATGGTGACATCTGCATTTAGCCATGGTGACATCTGTATTTAGCCCTGGTGACATCTGTATTTAGCCCTGGTGACATCTATATTTAGCCATGGTGACATCTGTATTTAGCCATGGTGACATCTGTATTTAGCTCTGGTGACATCTGTATTTAGCCCTGGTAACATCTGTATTTAGCTCTGGTGACATCTATATTTAGCCATGGTGACATCTGTATTTAGCTCTGGTGACATCTGTATTTAGCCCTGGTGACATCTGTATTTAGCCATGGTGACATCTGTATTTAGCCCTGGTGACATCTGTATTTAGCCCTGGTAACATCTGTATTTAGCTCTGGTGACATCTATATTTAGCCATGGTGACATCTATATTTAGCCCTGGTGACATCTGTATTCAGCCATGGTGACATCTGTATTCAGCCCTGTGTGCGCCCCTGAAGCCACAAAGGGGACACTTTAAAAGCTTCCACTGCCCATCAGTTTAGTGTTATCGGTGATTGATGGCCCGAGAATTACTACTCACACTGCGACATTCGCGGTGATATGCAACATGTGCGGCGCAATAGTCGTTTTCACACGTATGCTCACCCGGCGCATGTTTGCACGTGTGTATATGGGTCTGGGGACTTTATGGGGCTTTTTTTATATTCTTTTTTATGTGACTTTTTTTTTTTAACTTTAATTTTGTTTTTTTTCCACTTATCTTTATTGTTATCACATAGGGGGGGCGGCCCAAGAAGCCCCCCTATGTAATAGCAAAGAGGATGCGACAGGTCCTCTTTATGGCGACATCAGGGGGTCTATAAGACCCCTAATGTCACCTAGGGAGCACCAAAGAAGCTGATGAAGCCGAGATCTGCTTCACCAGCTTTTCTCTCCGGCCAGGGAGTGACCGTCGAATGCAGGAAGTGATGCAATATCCATCACTTCCTGTATTCTGACCCCGGAGAGGAGGTCGTGTACTGATCTCTACCTCTGGTCTCCTGTCAGAGCCACCGTGCCGGTCCCGGGCCTGCAGCGGGCACAGCGGCGCTCAGGACCAGTGCTGCGGAGGGGGGCGCACCCACCGGCACCTCATGCAAGCAATCCACCACCGGACCACTTCTACATAAACAGGCAGTAAAACA